GCCAGTGTAAGGGTTGGAGAGCTTGAGGTGGATTTTGTGAAAGGAGTCAGATTGTCTCTTACTTAGTTGAGGACTAAGAAAATGTTGGAATGTGCACTTACCTCTTGAAGTGCTACCATTAAGGGTGACCCACTTGTAACTAATTCAATATGGGAACATGAACAAAACTGTTTTTAGTCTGGCAAATTTTTGTCTGGAAGTAATTTCATAATTTTCTGCATTTTATTAGGATTGGGTTTTGTTTCCAAAAGAGGAACAGTTAACGGTCATTGCAAGAGGAAGGAATTGAATTGCTTTATCAATATTTATTTTGGCAAATCTATTTTCCTTTCCCTATATAGAAACCATACATTTGATATTTTTAAGAGCTGGAATTTAACTAAAATTAAAGTACAGAATTATTGAAATTATTGACTATCAATGTATTCTTTTAAGTATTTTTTTAAAGTATTTTATAAAGCTTCATTTGCTTTATAAAAATAACTTCAAATGTTAAATCTTAACTGAAGTTGCATATTTTATATTACTATAAACAAATAGAGAATGAGAATTATAAGATTAATGTGATTATAAACTTAGAAGTTTTCTTTTTCAGATATACTTCGTAAGCATATCTTAGGTCATTGGATTATTTTGACACATGTTTGAGTCATAACATTTATAGTTGCTCTGATTTTAAGTGATTTTTAAAAACAGATACCAGTTTTTACATTTTGATATAGTCTTATGTATTCCTATAAACTTAAAGCTTTATTGTGTGTATTTTAAGACATATCTGACTGTAAATGCTTGGGTAACTGTATGTTATATATATTTTTCTCCAGTGGAACAAAGCTGTTGAATTGGCTAAAAGTCATAGTATGAAAGAAATTGGTTCCCTGATAGCGAGGTATGCATCTCATTTATTGGAAAAGAATAAAATTTTTGATGCCATAGAACTCTACCGGAAAGCCAGTTACTTTTATGATGCTGCTAAACTGATGTTTAAGGTAATGTAATAATCTTTCTGAGTATTTGGTTTCTTCTAGTTACCAATTTTTTTTCTATACTGAAGAGTACCTTTTCCATTTTCTTTGGAAACAAATATTTGTTACAGCAAAATCCCTCTCATTCCATTGCTATTGTAACTATATGTTATCTTAGTATTATTACCTTTTACTAAAAAGGCTATTTATTTATTTTAGCACTTTAATGATACCTAAGCAATTGTATATTTACTTAATATCAAAGTTAACAAAGAATTATAGACTTTTCAGGGACCATAAAGTACAAATTCCCTTAAGTGGAAATTAAATACCCCTGACAGTAGAATTTTGGGTCCTTTTAAATGTTCAAGTTTTAAAGACTTTACATTTTTAATAGTGTGCATTTGGAGGGAAGATGACCGGTACAGTGTTAATGTATACAAATTTTACATTCTTTTCTGTTCTTTTCCCATTTGATTTAATGAAAAAGGAAAATGTTCCCTCCTAATCATTTAACTAAACTTAAATTTCTGAAGGATGTACCATGTTAAAGCCATCTTATTTCTGGGTGCTTGGAACATTACTCTAAAAATCTCCTTGTTATGGAAAATATTACCCATTCCATGAAAGTTTTCTTCATTCTGATTTAGTTTTTTAGCAGCATCTATTACTTTCTAAGATGGTTATGAGCTCTAACTCCAATAGCTAAACACCAAGGAAAAAACTAAATACTTATCAGTACTAAGGAAAAGAAAAAAAAATTTTTAATGGAGATACTGGGGATTGAACTCAGGACCTCACCCATGCTTAAGCACATGCTCTACCACTGAGCTATACCCTCAAGAAATGAGTTTTAAAATATTTATTGTAAATGAGTAGTATTTATATCCCATCATACTGACTTTCCTCCTTTTTGCTAGAGAATCATATTTCAGAAATGATAAGTGTACAAATATAGTTTAAGAAATACCTTCCATAACTCTTTAAATGTTTAAAGATTGCAGATGAAGAGGCAAAGAAAAGAACTAAACCATTACGTGTTAAGAAGCTCTATGTACTATCAGCTTTACTTATAGAGCAGTACCATGAACAAATGAAAAATGCCCAACGAGGAAAAGTTAAAGGAAAGAACTCAGAGGTAAGGTAGATTATTTAGTAACATTAAATCATCTGAAGTGTTTAAGGAAAAAAGAACTACCAAAATTCTCTTTATGGACAGGACATTTAACTTGTTTCTTTGCATTTATTTTCTTAAATGGTATGAGGAAAATGAATGAGTGATTTGGAATTGGTACTCAAATTTAGACATTGCAACTTGCAAATATTGCAAATTATTTTTTTTTACAAGACTAATTAATCTGTAATCTTTGTTTAAATTCCTTACTTGGAAAATCCTTTCTAACAATGAGTTTTAAAAGCTTTCCTAGAATATGTACATTCTTTTAATGTGTGATTGAACCTTACATTAACTTAAAGGCTAGTTAATTCTGTTTTAAAATTTGATCATACCATGGGGAGAACCTTCTCACGATGTATACATACATCAAATCAGCATGATGTACACTTTAAAAATCTCGTAATTTTTAAAATCAATTATACCTCAATAAAACTGAAGACAAAATTTAATCATACCTGTTTAACAAAATATGAATTATAATGGAGAAACTAAGTCTGGAATGAGTTTTGTAATGATAAAATCTGCAAATTTAGATATTTTAATGTATAACAATTTCAGAAGTCATCTTCATTGGAAGACCATTGTTATGGTGGTGCTGACAGAAAATGTGGGTCTGCTTTACTTCTAGGCCACTTCTGCTTTGGCTGGTTTGCTGGAAGAAGAAGCTCTGTCCACAACTAGTCGTTTCACAGATAATGCGTGGAGGGGGGCTGAGGCTTACCACTTCTTCATCTTGGCACAGAAGCAGCTCTACGAGGGCAGTGCTGACAGTGCACTGAAGACAGGTGGGCCTGTTAACCTAGTCTATGTAACATGCCTAAAAAATTATAAATTGAGTATGAAGGGCCAGCTCCTTCAATTTGCCCCTATATTAATTTCAGTAACACTTTTTGTCTGGATTTATTTTCATATGTTCAAGATTTGCTGTCTATGATTTGTTTTGTACATTTTCTTTTTGAAGTTCTTTTTATTTTTTAATACATGGAAAGCAATATATACATGGTTAATAGAATAAGCAGAAGTTTGAGGTAAGGAAAAAGAACATTTATAAAGCATTCACTATCACTATTTTATTTATGCAAAGTTAAACACTTAATAGCCCAGTCCACATCCTTGTGTGTGTTTGTGTGTGTATATATATATATATATATGTATATATATATAATATAAATCTTTACATATTTAATATATAATATAATATAAGAATCAATGTATATTATATAAAATAAATATATGTAAATAAAAATAAAATAAGTATATATATATTTAAAAATAATTTCTTTTTTACAATGCTGGGAGTATAACAGACCATACTTGTGTGACTTTTCAAGACAATGATCTGTTGTCAAGTACTTCCATATTAGTAGATAGATTTCTATAGCATTTAACTTTTTAAATAAAAATGATACTTACGTAACAGTTTCAACTAAAATATGAAAAAATGCAAAGACAAGAGTAAAATAATCTAATAACTTATAAAATAATCTTAAAACTCCAGGATAAGCATCGTTAACATTTGAGTGAACCTCCTTTTAGACATTTCTCCACACCTATAAAATTGTATACAGTTTTACTTAAAATAATATCACACTGTAAATTATTGCCTATGAACCTATGAAATTAGAGGATATTCTTTATTTTAATTCAGTGAATTTCCTTTTTATAAATTTCTTCCAATGAGCTTTGTTGTAAACACTTGACCCCAACACCAGTGTATAAGAATCTATTGTAAAGTACATGAATATGTTGCTTTGAATTGTTTTATGAAGTTTCCAGTATTATACTCTAACAAGATATTTTTGAGATTGCCAGGTCTAGAGAATAAAAAGATACAATTTGGTTGCTAATCTGTTATTAATTCTCTAGTGCATTTTAAAGAAAGAGATTATATCTGCAGTGTAGAAATACTGAAAATAAGACACGGTAGCTGTCAAAATAAATCGTCTGAACTAACAACTTAGAGTCTCATTTTCATTCTTTTTTCTCCAAGTTCTATTTTTCAATAAGACAAACAGAAAAGCAATAATCTGTTCAAAGAAACACAAAGAGAAAACATATGATTTCATACTTTGCTTTTTTAGCAAAAAGAAACAGGATATTATTTTGAGAATCCACAGAAATATCTGACACACTTATATGGAACAAAAGATGTGTGTTTTGACACCTTTTTTTTTTGAGTCTGTGTGTATATTTCTAAGTGGCACAACCATGTGCATCATTTGGTGGCGGTTATTTTCATAGGCCCTGAGTTGTTAGCTGGGTTTGCAGAATGTGGAGATCATGTAGCCTCCATCCTCCTACTGGTTCTTCAGTCACCATTGTTTTCTTTAAGTTTGCTTAAGTTCATGTAGGTTAAACTGAAACAGCTTAACATAGATTCTTTCCCATGCGTGTTCATGATATCATGATTGCTTTTAAAAATCCAAATTGTCTTCTCTTTCCTAGCTCTTCATCTGAGAGACTATGAAGACATTATCCCTGCCGTTGAGATCTACTCTCTGTTGGCCCTCTGTGCATGTGCCAGTAGAGCTTTTGGTACCTGTTCAAAAGCTTTTATTAAACTTGAATCTTTAGAGACCCTCAATTCAGAACAGAAACAGCAATATGAAGATCTTGCTCTAGAAATCTTCACCAAACATACTCCAAAAGATAACAGAAAACCTGAACTGGACAGCCTTCTTGAAGGGTAGGCAAACTGTAATTAGTAGATGTCAGTCTACCTTATTAGAAGCTTGGATTTTTATACCTAAATAGTGTCACACAATAATTGAAGCACTAAATTTTGAAGTACTCTACCTTAACAGTATACCCTACTTTATTTACTCTTGAAAGTGTATTAATGCTTTATTTTCTCATTGTAAGAAGTTTTTATTTGAAATTTACCTTGAAATGTTTTTCATTCTTCCGTTTTTTTAAGTGTAATAAATAAAGTTTTAAGTAATTAGAAGTTTTAAAGTATAATTGTTTTTCCTCTTATTTTTACAGAGGGGAAGGGAAACTGCCAACGTGTGTTGCCACAGGAAGCCCAATCACTGAGTATCAATTCTGGATGTGCAGCGTGTGCAAGCACTGTGTTCTGGCTCAGGAAATCAGTAACTGCAACTTCTGCCCCTTATGTCATAGTCCAGTGGGATGAAGGAGTGACAAACTATGGATAATTGGAGTGTTTTTTGTAATAAAGTTGATTCTGAACATCTTATATGAAAATCAGCATTATTATTTCATAGTTGTATTTTATAAAAAATTCAGTAGATAACATACATGATATATACACACATATATAAATTATGTATAATTTTGTGTAAAAATATAACTTAAATAATGATGCTAATTTTCATAGAAAGTGTATGGAAATCCATCGTATTGTCTGTCTGTTTATCTATCTTGTGGTTGTTTATATGATACTATGGAAATATTCCAAACAAGAAATTTTTTTCCTCACAGTGTCAGGGTTACTAATTCATTAAAAAGCTTGGTGCAGGGGAGGAGGGAATCATGGGAATGGGGCAAAGTTGAATTTAGGGAATTGACATAACCTGTAAGAGAAGGAGGTTTAACAGCTGTGATACTGAAAGGAGCACTATCTGTAGCTGCATTTAATTAAATAAGTTTATTGAATGTCTTCTCTATTTTATTTTTAGCAGTGAGGAGAAGGCATTTTAAGACTTTTTACAATTTGAATTATTTGTAATAGCTTAGTTTTTATATAGATTTTCCTTTTTTATCTACCCTTTTAGTTTCATCTAAGAGATGGCATTTGGCATGTAATCTTCATATCTTCAAACACTTGGCTCTGTTTAGAATGATATAAATTTATACAAAGATATCCAGTTTATAGTTATAGATTCATTTGAAACATTGTTGCTAAGCTGGACCTTTCATTTAAACAACTCTTGGACTATGGGGAGTGATTCTCACTATGCATGTTTTGAGTCACTGTCATTTAAATTAAAAAGAAAAAATTGTAATCAGTAACAGGTAATTTCTCACCTGTTTTATATAACTAATAATGTTCTCCATTTATTTCTCATGAATTTACATCCTCTCATTTTGTGGCTGCAGACCAGACGTTAGCACTCTTTTATCAAGATTATATGCTGAAGTTGGGCTGATTTTATTAGAGGCAATACAGAAAAATATGCAACATTGTTATTGCAGCTTCAGTGCTTAGGTTAGTTCTCTCAATGTGATATGTTTTTGGTTCTGTAGAGACAAGTTAAGCCTGTTGCAGACTGAGAATAGTGAGCTACAAGAAGAGGTTTAGAACCCAGATGAGTTCATGATGGATAGTGGGCTCCTGTGCCTAAGTAAAA